CCTAGGAGCAGGGCAAATGACGAGTCCACCAAGGTAGCTCACCACTAGGAAGCTCCACCATTCTCTGAGTCACAAGCCGCCTAGGAGCAGGGCAAATGACGAGTCCACCAAGGTAGCTCACCACTAGGGAGCTCAGCATAGCTCTCCCCCAGGCAGTTCGCCATCAAGGAGCTCGACATAGCTCTCCCCAGCTCGGCATAGCTCGGGCAGCTTGGCATAGCTCTCCTCCCCCCAGGCAGTTCGCCATTAGGGAGTTCGGCATAGCTCTCCCCAGCTCGGCATAGCTCGGGCAACTCGACATAGCTCAGGCAGCTCGGCATAGCTCTCCCCCCAAGCAGTTCACCACCAAGGAGCTCCACCATCCTTTCCTGGGAGCAGGTCAAATGACGAGGCACTTAGCCAAAAAAATTGATACATCATAAAAAATTGGTACGTGACTAAAAACGGTTACATCAGAAATGAACTGTTGTCTTGGTCTTCAAATTTCATTTGAAAGAAGCTTTTCACTGCTGAAATTCTTTCCTTGAGGGGCAGAAACCCAATACCTTACAAAGTTGGTTTAGGTGATTCATTTATTCCAATCTCACTTCTGTCACTTTCAACTAAGCTTGAGCTACTTTCGTTATTACACCTCTTAACTAAACTTGAATTGCTCTCATTATCACCTATTTATTTTGAGCATGAACTACATCCATTTCTCCTTTTTCGAGAGTGAACCATTTAATCCTCTAGAGGAATAACTAATGATTCTCCTTTATGGTTTTATGTGCTAATTTGTATATGATAAACTGAAATTGGCCGCTATTGTTCTGGACTTTAATATTACTTGAATACTTTTCTTCATTGCCTCCCATGTCCTACATTTCTTGAGTATGGGAAGTCAAATTATCACTGTTAATAGCCCAATTTTTGTAAAAACAAATGGCTTAATAGTTAGAGTGAGCTGGCTAATATTGTATGGTCATTACTCATCATAACTTGCAGCTGATGAAAAGTTGAACTATGAAGTTCTCTTCTTGCAGCATTAACAATCATTCATACTTGTATAAGAACTCCACTTTTCACGGGATTTCTAATTGTCTTGTTTTCAGTGTGCTTAATCTCAAAATAATGTGCAATATGCTGTTGATAGATGTAAATCAGTCATCTAAAACTGATGTAAACTTGGAAAAATTATGAGAAAAGAGGAAAAAAAAGAAGAGAACAACAGCACAAAAGAAAGAAGATGGAGAAAAGAAGAGGTAGAAGATGAAGAGTTTGAATGTCTCGTTCGTCCCTTCTCTAATTTTTTTACTAAACTTCAATCTTAGCATAATTGTAAGTATACCCTTATGTGGGCAGCCAGCGCAATAATATAAAGAGAACTAACAAAAAAGAAATAACAAGGCCATTAAGATAGGGCCATTAGCCATTAGCTAACAAATAAATAAAAAACATTCTACAAGAAAAGATACTAGGTCCCATTCGGCCCAATCTCTTTACGCTCCCCCTCAAGCTGAGCATAGATGTTAATCATGCCCAGCTTGCATATATAGTGTGTCAGTTTCCCTCTCGGAACTCCCTTGGTCAAAATATCAGCCAACTGTTCTTCTGAGGTGATGAATGGCAAACAAACTTTTCCTGAGGAAACTCTTTCCCGTATAAAATGTCTATCAACCTCAATGTGCCTAGTTTTGTCATGTTGAACAGAATTATGTGCAATATTGATAGCTGCTTGGTTGTCACAGTAGAGCATCATTGGCTTCTCATAGTCAACCCCCAATTCTTCTAAAAGTGATCGTACAGTAATTTTGACACACCATGTGCCATTGCCCTGTATTCTACTTCAATAGAGGATCTGACAACTACAAACTGTTTCTTACTCCTCCATAAAAAAATGTTCCCTGCCACTAAAGCACAATAACTTTAGGTGGATCTCCTATCATCAATACATCCTGTCCAATCAACATCAGTGTATGCTTCTAGCTTCATGTGTCAATGTTTGGAAAATGGAATGCCTTTCCCTAGAGTATGGTCAAATTGAATTTGTCTGTAACCAAATGAGACAAGAGCAGCCCTGAACCTCTCAAACCAAGCCCGAGGAGATTGTTTGAGACCATAAATGGATTTTTGCAGTTTACACACCTTCCCTTGCATTTTCTTTCCATACACCCTCAGAGGCAAAGATATATATACCAACATCAAACTGGTGGAGAGGCCAGTCAAAAGTAGCAGCTAGAGACAACAAAACCCAGACTGAGGTCATCTTAGTTATAGGAGAAAATGTCTCAAGATAGTCAATACTGTACATCTGAGTGTAGCCTTTAGCAATTAGCTTGGCCTTAAGCCTCTTAACAAACCCATTGGAATGATATTTAACGGCAAATACCCATTTACAACCCATTGGTTCATTCCCTTCTAGCAAGTCAACAATATCCCATGTATGGTTCTTATGCAAAGCATCTAGTTCAGCCATCATCATAGCATCTCTCCATTCAGGTTTATTGGTCTTCTAGTACAGACTTGGGTATCGCATGGGAAGAAACAGAAGCAAGAAAAGAGTAGTAGGTAGGAGATAGAAGGCTATAAGACAGGTGTTTGGAGATATAATGGGTTGTACACTTCCGCTTGCCCTTACGAAGAGCAATAGGAAGATCAAGGTTTGGGAGGTCAGAGGAAGGTTGACCTGTTACCTCAGTAATGATGGGAGGAGCAAAAGACTCTTTTGTAGGAGTGGAAACAACTTGTCCATGTCTGAATCTATGCCTTTGGTACCACCTTTGGAGAACAGGATGAGGTGGAGGAGTAGGAATACTGGAGGTATGTTTAGTGGGAGAAGTGGACACCTCATCAGATAACTCAAAAGGAACAAGAGGAGGAACTGTTGGAGATATAGCAAAGGGTTTCTCAGATTTCTCCCCCTTATGAGGAATAGTAAAAAAAGGAGTAGACTCAACAAATGTGACATCCCGAGATACAAAGCGGGTGCCACTAACCGGATCAAAATAGCAATATCCCTTTTGGGTGGGGGCATATCCCAGAAAAATACATTTACAAAGCGACTATGAACATGGACATAGCAAGTGCACCAAAAAACACAGAGAGGAAGAGAAAAGAGATCCTTATTTGGAAAGAGAAGGCGAAAGGGGGTTTTGAAGCTAAGAACTTGGGAAGGCATACAGTTAATCAAAAAAGTAGCAATAAGGACATCATCTCCCCAAAATTTTATAGGAACATGGGATGCAAAAAGGAGGGATCTAGCAACTTAAACTACATGTCAGTTATTCCTTTCTGCCACTCCATTCTGTTGTGAAATGTAGGAACAAGAACTTCGATAAATATCTCAAAAAGTTTCAAGACAGGTTTAGAGGATTTTCTCAAAACACTCTTTAGCATTATTAGAACAGAATATTTTGATCAAGGTATTAAATTGGGTAAGAATGAATTCATGAAAAATTTGCACAATAATTGGTACTTCATCTCAGGATTTCATGAGATAAATTCAAGTGTAACGAGAGTAATCATCAATAAAAAGGATAAAGTACCTGTAACCCCCCATAGTAAGCAAATGATATGGCCTCCACACATTAGAGTGAACAATATGAAAAATGATAAACAAATCTTTTATTGCTTACTGAATAAGATTGTCTACAATGCTTTGCCAGTTGACATGACTCACAATGATGATTTGATAAAGACACTCCATTAAACATATATAGAAACAAATGACTCAAAGCAGAAAAAAGACAAATGACTAAACCAAAAGTGACATAACATGACTTTGCCAACAGACTTTGACAAGATTGACTCCAAGGCAACTACATGAGGTGCCCCAAGAGCTCTATTAAGTGTGTTTAGCAAATATATTCCATTCACCTCATGGCCACTCCCAATCATTCTCTGATATTGCAGGTTTTGAAAAGCACAATGAGTGGGAAAGAAGATTATGATATAGTTCATGGATTTATTTAAGTTAGTAACAGATAAAAGATTTGTATTAAGTTTGGGGACATGAAGGACAGAGGATAAATAAAGGGTGTTAGAGGTCTTTATATCCCCTTTGGCAGAAATGGGAACAAGAGACCCATCAGCAAGAGATATTTTCTCTTTACCAGAGAGAAGGTGGTATGAATAGAAAAGATTAGACAAGCTGGTTATATGGTCTGATGCGCCAAAATCAATTATCCAAGGGATTTTATGATTACCTGAAACTGGAGCATGATTTGTAGAAGCACGAATACTTGAGTGAGCAAATGCTGAGGTAGAAACAGTAGCCTCCAAGTGATTTAACAGCCTTCCATACTTTTCAAAATCTGCCTTCATTGTTGCCAACTATTCAATGGTTGACTTCTCTTCACTTTTCTTACTTCCTCCTTCCGGTACTATGGCAACACTAGCTGTCTGATTGGTCTTCTTAAAATTGTTGTTATTCTTAAACCAGTCAGGTAGAAGATCAAAATGAAGCTTCCAACAAGTGTCCTTCATATGCCTCGATTTCTTGCAATATTCACACACTTGTTCCTTCTCAATTGGACCCTTTAGTTTTATTCCAACATGTGCAAAGTGTTCTGTAGGTGGACTCTGTAACTGAACCTACTGCCTACTCTCCTCGCTGCTTACCATAGCATATGCTTGGGCGATAGTAACATTATCTTTGGTTAGAATATACTGTTTAATGATGTCAAACTCAGGGTTGAATCCAATAAGAAATTCAAAGACCCTGTTTCATTCCACTAACTTCCTAAACATTTCTACATCATTCTTACTCTCCCATACAATTATCTCCATAACATCAATTTCTTGCAATAGGGATTTCAGTATAGAATAGTAGATTGCCACACTCTTCTCCCCCTGTCTTTGGTTCTTCACATCACTTTTCAACTTGTAAACTACATTGGGCCTATCAGTACTTTTCCCATTATTTTTTAATTTTAAAATTATAAAAATAAAAAAAATAATTATTAAAGAAAATATTTCAATTGGTCTATGGATATGATAGATCATCCATAGAATTATAATATATTCCATTGTTATGATCAAACAATAAAATATAATTAATTATTTTTTATTTTTTTTTAATTCTAAAATATAAAAAATAAAAAAATATATTAAAGAAATTTAATTGCTCTATGGATATGATAGATAAATCTATAGATCTAAAACATATTTAGTCTTTATAGGCAAAGAAAAAATTATATTTTCAAATTTTTTGTTAATTTATATTTTCCCCAAATAATTTCATGAAATTTCCATAAATCTAATGATAACACAAAAGAAAAAGAAAATTTGTGATTTTGAAGATAAGAAATCTAGATCAACATAAATTTAAATATTAAAGAAAAAAAACACAAGATATTATAAAAAATTTGAAAAAAAACTCACCTATTTTACCTTATTTTTTCAAATTTTAAAAAATCTTCAAAAAATTAACAATTCACACTTATTCTTGCAATTTTTTGCAAATCTAACAATCTAGAAATGAGGTTTGGAGTTTGAGTTATTTGGAGGTGAAAAAAAGGCTTATTTCATGATAAATAAATTTACCTTCCCCCTTTATTTTTTTTTTCAGTTTTGGGCAGATCATTTTTGTCGATACGCTACCAATATACTCCGATACACTCCCAATATGCCCCAATATGAGTCCAGTATGCATGAAAAAATGTGAGATGCCTAATTGCCATGCATGCCACATCAATTTGTAAAAGATACAATACAATACACCCCTTATTGGACATATCATATTGAAATTTTAACCTTACCACTACACCATCTCTGCTGGTGCAGGAGTAGTTATTACTTCTTAGAGATCACTTTGGAAGCTGCAAGGGCAACCAAATTTGCTTCCCTGTACCCTAGTTGAGATTGAAGCGTTTACTCGTCTAGGGGGCTTTAAACTTGCACGGGACTCAGATTTGAGATTCGGAAGTTGAGGGAGACGGTTATTTTATCCCTCATGAAGAATAACCTTAATTCAACAAGGTGCATAGCCACATTGCTCGTCGGTTGCAGGGTCCTTTCTAGACATGGATTTATTGGTCTTTGGCACTTCCATATCTCATGGTAGTATTTGAGCGGTTAATGAACTCTTTGCCTGAAAGTTGTCAAAAAATGCACAAAGTCGAGCATGGAGCTAATATTTATCATGCTGATTGTGATGTTCTGCATGCAAATGTCCTTTACACCATTAGACATGGACTGTAGTTCGCAAAGAGAGCACCCATGAATGATTATGAACAATAAAATGAAATTGTCCATCATGTGCTGATAAAGCACGTAACAACTATGGGACGCGCTCTTTGGCGAGCCCATTCGATCATTGGCACTGATATGCTGATACTTTGAACCTCTACCCAGATCCAGCAAAGAAACCAACTCGTAGGTAATCAGCATATCTGGACTTTGCCTGGAGCCCATGTATCTTTTTATAGATTACAACTGAATAATTGAATATCCACTCAACAAAAAATAGGACACTCAGACTGGATATTTCCTGAATTATCACTCAGTTTTGAGGAACATTTCCCTGAATTCATCATTTGATTTTGGTTTCTCATCTCCTTCACTCCTTGGTTCATTCTTGCCCCACCCAAGGGGTCGGACAACAGCTCTTGGCACCATAGTGGATGTGCTCTTACCCCTGGGATAGACAGTCTCTCCACGCCTATGAGAATGTGAGGATGGCACATGAGGTGCAACAGACTCTTTATCGGCTTCAACAGATCCTTCTATATCATGCTTTTCGTCTGGAGCATCTTCCCCAGCAGTTGTTCTTTTACCTGCAAAAGTTAATTAAATGCATTCAAAAAGGTTCAACATATTATCAAGATGAAGAAACCAGGAGAAATTAAAAGGTTGTTCCATTTGCGCTCTATTTTATAGGTAAACTTGGAGACAAAGCACACTACCATCCATTAAAAATGCAATGCAACTAGAACATGCATGTATTACACATTTATTTCTCAAACGTCAACTGTTCCGTTGGTGAAACACAATGACCTAATTGGCTTGGCTTTTTATTAAACATTCTCTTTTTGCAGTATCACAGCTCATTCTTCACAAACCATTCTCATTTTGTTTCAAAAAATGTTTTTGCTCTCCCATATCCTAACTACAATAAAAAACTAAAAAAGAAGGAAAAAGTAAAAAACTTGATGACATCTCATTAAATAGCCCATTAACCCTTCCAAAGAAGCTGAGCAAGTGAAGCTACTCCAGAGAGCTTGTATGTTAGAGTCCACTTAATATACAGGGAACTAAACAATTGCCTAAAATCATTGGTAAGCATAAATGCAATTACCTTGAGTTGTGTTCAGTTTGGTAACTACCAACCAAAAAACCGGATTTTTTTTTTGGGGGGGAGGGGGGGTGTGATGCAGGAGCTGAAGAGTCAAAATTGGAATTTTATGTAATTCTATATTTTTAACAGTAGGGGTAGTTTTGTCATTTTTCAATTTTATGTGGGGTCCAATGATGAGGTTTAAATTATCTAGTTTAGTTTGTTTATGTTTAAAATTCTAGAGTCATTGCATAAGTAGGATTAGAGTTATCGAGCCTTCTTTGAATTAAAATAGGATGTGATAACTTACTTTGAGTCGTAGGATTATTGAGTCAGGTAGTTATTCCTAGATCTATTATGAGTCCAACAGTTTGACTCCTAGGATTACTATGAGTTTAGAGTCTATAAATATGTATGGACGTTTTACACAAAGGCAATGAAATATATTGAGTTTCTTCAGCTTATGCTAACTATGGTGAGTGATTCCCATGCCCTAGATTGATTCTAGGCACCCTGTGAGTGATTCCAGGTATTTTCTCTTCTTTCTATCCCTATTTTCTCTCTTATTCCTTCAAGAAGCCATTAAGGCCATAAAATTCTTATCAAAGAAGACCATTCAACATTCTTTAAGGACTAGAACTGAGCTCGTCCTACATCAGTTGGTATTAGACCTAATGGTTTATTCAGTATGTTCTCACAAAGTGACTGATTCTATAGGCCTAGGTTACCTTCTGAACAATCTTACGGGTCTAAAACCAATGATGGTTGGTTTCTAAACCATACGAAGGGTCTTTGGTTGACTTATTTGAGAAGATGGTGGAAGAAAATAGATCTAATACTATTAAGCTATGGGAGTAAGGTTTTCAAAAATGTTAGAAGAGAAGGTAAATACCAGATTTCAAAGGAGATGATGATCCACAAACATTCTTTGATTAGGTTGCTGAACTAAAAGAATATTTTGATTATTATGATATGTTTGACAAACAAAGGATTAGATTTGCATGCATGAAGCTGACGGGTCATACTAAAGTATGGTGGAGAACTCTTGAGCAACGACTAGAAAAAAGAAGCGATGATCCAATTAGTACATGGGCAAAGATGAAGAGATATATGCAAGAAAAGTACATCCCACTAGACTTCCATGATGATCTATATATGGAGTTGACTAATTTCGAAGAAAAGAAGAAGCACCAAGTTTCAACAAAGAACTTGAAGTCAATGGGAAGAAGGTACAAAGTTGAAAAGAAAGTAGATGATTCATTGCAAGTTGATGCCTATCCTAGAGCTGAAGTCGAGGATGAAGCTAAAGAAGAAGAATTTCAAGCTATAGAAGTTGTAGATATTAAAAGTCAAGAGGGTGCAAGCCAAGAAAAAACAGAAATTGCTGGAGTTTCCAACACTCGTGATCAATTTGAGGTTAATGATCAAGAAGAAATAGAAGTGGGACAAGTTAAAGAAATTCAGGTGCAAGATTAGAATGTGTTGATTGTAGTAGATCCTAATAAGGAAGCAAGTGACTTTACCTTACAAGCCCAACTAGAACTAATTCAAGAATTACAACCTGGCATAGGACAAGTTCCACCAACATCAATAATGGAAGGAGTCCTAGAGTTTGTTGAAGAACCATCAATAGCAGAACACATAGAGATGGTGATTCCTAAGCTAGAGGTTGAAGGAAAAGTTCCAAATGTTGCATTTGAGGGTTTGGATAAGCGAGGGGAAGATTCATCACAATGACTGGTTGATGAATTAAGTGTTCAAGAAACTAATGTCATTGATTATTTAACAAAGATAGTTATTGTAGGCAGTGTTTCAGAAATACGTTTCTTTCAAGATCCTTTCCTAGTTCTATGTGTAACCTCTACTCTACAATTCAAGCATGTAGTTGTGGTAAGTTCTACTCCTTTTGAAATTGAGGCATATCAACTTTTCATCCTCAAGTTCTTCAAAACTCAAAGGATGAGTTTTTTTGAACTGGGGGAGAATGATGCAAGAGCTGAAGAGTCAAAATTGGAATTTTATGAAATTTTATGTATTTCTATATTTTTGGACAACAGGGGTATTTTTGTCAATTTGCAATTTTCTGTGGGGTCCAATGATAGGGTTTAATTCGTGTGGTTATGGTTTATTTATGTTTAAAATTTTAGGGTCACTGCACAAGTAGGACTAGAGTTATTGAGTCTTCTTTGAATTGAAATAGGATGTGACAACTTAGGATTATTGAGTCTAATAGTTTGATTCCTAGGACTAATATGAGTCCAACAGTTTTGACTCCAAGGATTATTACGAGTATAGAGTCTATAAATATGTATGGACGTTTTACACAAAGGCAATGAAATATATTGAGTTTCTTCAGCTTATGCTAACTATGGTGAGTGATTCCCATGCCCCAAAGTGATTCTGGGCACCCTGTGAGTGATTCCAGGTATTTTATCTCTTCTTTCTTATCTCTATTTTCTCTCCTATTCCTTAAAGAAGCCATTACGACCATAAAATTCTGATCAAAGAAGACCATTCAACATTCTTTAAGGACTAGAACTGAGCTGGTCCTACATGGGGTGGGGGGGGTCAAGAAATGAACAATTTCGTTATCAAACAGCAAAACAGCAGCAGACTGACTACATTACTAACTGGTTATTTGATACTCATGATGTGGTCACCTAGGATCAGTGTTTTCAACCCAATGTTGACCCGGCCAGTTGAACCATTCGAAACATCACCCAGCCATGATTCTGTTCTGGTTCTAGTAAAACCTGGAAATTGGTCAAAAACCATTGACTGAGTCAAAAAACCATCAGAACCGAGCAGCAGGACCACTGACCTGTTCAACCCGATGAATGGGTCATGGTTGCACACTAAATATGTATGTAAACTTCCAGAGGCCATAACTTTGCACTACAATGTCTGATTGGGGTGATCTTTTTTCTTCTTTTTTTTTTGATTGTTGGTAACTTTTCAAGATCTATGTGTCCCAAGGTGCCGTTGCCCTGTTATTTTTGAGAAAAACCCCCGTTTGGCCTCAAATTGCGTTTTTTTTTAATATTTTTTACAAATAAAAATATAGATAAGTTTATTACAAACCAATGTCTTAAAATCCGGAGGCATGACACGAGGCGTTCCACTACCGAGAGGCGTGAGGCATAAGCCTCCCAAATACAAGGAGGTGTAAGCCTCCTTAAGAGGAGGGAGGTTAGGAGGAGGAAGGGGAAGAGGATGAAGAGGAAGGGGGGATCTCAGTTTTTTCTTTATTTTTAATAAAAATCTTTTATATCAAGAGGAATAAAGATGCATAACATTAGTTCAAAGGGGGGTCTGGGGGGTGAAGCCCCCTAGCCAAAGGGGCAAGGGCAAACCACTTTCTTTCCCCTTATCTTTTCTTCCCTTCCTTTTGCTTTTCTGTTTTTTTCTTCTCTTTATTTTCTTTCCCTTCCCTTTCTTTTCCTTTCTTTCATTTCCTTTTTTTTTTCTTTTTTCTTTTTTTTTTCTGTTTTTTATATAAGATGTGCATAAGGCATACGCCTCTAGCATGCCTCATGAAAAAAAGTGCATGAGGCGTACGCCCCTAGCACACCTCATGAAAAAAAGCGCATGAGGCGTACGCCTCAGAGGTGTCAACACCTCTAGCATACGCCTCAAGGTGTTTTGGGAATGCCTCGCCTGGAAGCGCGCCTCCAGGCATATGCCTCCCACGCCTTTTAAAGCATTGTTAAAAACATAAACATGTGTCTACACACACACATATAGACGTAAATAAGTAGAGTGCTAACGTGGCATCATCTAAGCTATTTGACCTAGATAGCCAAACTGATGACCTACGACCCCAAAGGAAAAAACAGTTTGGCCTCTGGGTTGGTTTTTAAAATATTGCCTAGAACCACTAAAGATCAACCAGGTCAATTAATCGATTAATGAAGAGTCAACCACATTCATTTTAAATCCTTATTTTTGTGTCCCTAATCGGTTATTTTTTCATTATGTCATATTTCATGCCAACTACACTAGAGCATTCTCTTGAAACGACACATTGCACCGAAACCCGAGTGTAAAGTCAAAAGGACAAGGGTTTGCTAAGATGGTCCTCATAAGTGACCCTCCACAGCAACACCCAATTGTGGTGTCAAATAGGCAAAGTTTCCTACATCCTTTTGAACAGGGGTGGGTAAAGAATCTAGTCCAACAAGCACAACTTCGTTTAGCCACTTGGAATGCAAGGTTAACATTGCATGCTTACAAGAAATTAAATGGATGTGTAAAAAAGTTAAAGAAATTGATGGCTACAAATTATGGTATATGGGAGAGGTAAATAATAGAAATGGTGTAACAATAATAGTAGATAATGATTTAAAAAAATGTAATTGTAAATGTTAAAAGATTTGAGGACAGCATGATTTTAATTAGACATGTTTTAGGTGAGGAAATCATTAACACAATTACTAGAGCTCTGAAAACCCCCTATTTGCTAATGTTGTTCATTCATTCATCCTCTTAAATATCTTCTTA